GCTTTGTTAGAAATGAAAGGGCCGACGTGCTGGCTAAAGAGGCGACCACTAATGATCATTGTGATTATAAATAGAAATTTCTGGTTCGAGAAGTTATGCAATTAGAAACATGAAAAATTTTTATAATGATATTGGAATACTAGATGGAATGAATCAGAGAGGTGCGTGGGGTCTTTTGAAGTCTATTAAAATTCAAAATGGTATGCGACCAATTAGTAATATTGATTTTAAACCAGTTTTTAACTGGGCATGGAAGATTTCCCGCGTACCTCTCGAGATTTAATTTACAAAATTAGACTTGTGTGGTCATTGCCATCAAGTTGGTAACGCAGATCACTTCTTGAATCATTGTTCCTTATTGGAAAATTTGAGAAAGAAATGTTTGGGAGATAAGTCATGGAACTTGGAAATCTTAAAAACATATTCTAAATGTGCAATGGATTTGATTAATTCTAATAGAGTTGAATTTGGAATATTTGTTTAGTATTGTGTATATTTATTTTTTGATTATATGTATTGTGTTCTCAGTTGTGGGTATTTGTGGGTTTGCTGCGGGGGTTTTGGGGTTTTTCTGTGTGCTGTTTTATTTGATGCGTTGTGGATGTTTTGTGCATGCGGTATTTCGAGGAGATGCGGTTGATTGTTGCATGGATATGGCCTTGCAAATGTTGAGAATCCTGATGGATTATCAGATTTAAATTATCGAAATTAATGGTGGTTTTGAGTTTTAGGATTTTGATTTTTGAATTTTAAAATTTTATGGAAATTTTTAATATTTTTCTTAAATTTTAATTGTAGTTTTTGATTTAAAATGTTCTGAAATTTTAAAAGTTTTTAAAATTTTTCTTATATTCTGTTCTTAATGGAGTAATTACTAAAGTTTAATATGATACATGGCAATCTTAAATTTTTCCAGTTTTTGGTTATTGGCAGTCCTGGAGTTTCTTTTCTATGATTATTAAAGATAATTAATACATTTGAATTCAGGTATGGTAGGACTATTAAAGTAAATTTTAAAATAAATAATAGTTTAAATAGAATTATGATTATACAAATAATATGCTATTAAAGTAATACTGTAGGGAATTCGGTTTGACCTTCTGCAGGTTTTTTAAATTGGGAATTCCTCGATGGCTTTGGACCGCCTGTGCCTGTTCCGAAAATTCATGTGAATGAATGTTTCTTGAGAGTTTCCGCCACTCTGTTTGCCGTGGGGTTTTTAATTGTTTTTGGATTTGAATGTTTGGTGTGTGCTTCGTTGTTTGTATGTCTCTTCTTATTTTTAGTTCGTTAATTAACCTAACCTCCAATTATTTTTAGTTAATTAGCTTCTTTTCTCTCTTCTTCCTTTGGGTCTTGAGGGGTCGACCCTTTATAATCATATGGTCCAGTGGGACTAGGAGGATTGGGTCTTCCCTGTATTGTGACTATATGAACCAGATATATCAGCAGAGCATTTCCTCAATCAAAATTAAAGGATTGGAGAATCGAATGCTTTAATGATAAACCATTAAGTATTGAAAACTTTAAAAGATTCTCTAGCTATGCTATGTCTATATAAACAATAATAGAGTGACTTGGTGTATTAGTTTAAATTATGTCTTTAAATATTTCAATTATTTTGTCTAATTTTTTTTCCTTATTATTTCACGTGTATGTATTGTATGGTGCATTGTCTGTTTTTTTTTTAATTTAAAACATATGTTTACAGCACATATTTACAGTTTTTAGGCACTCTGTAATAACATCATATCATAGTCTATATATTAATTGAATTTAGTTTTAAATTATTTTATATTTTTTAAGATAATTTTTATCAATTAAACATCATTTGTGTGCTGAGAATTTTATTTTGCTTGTGTAGTTTATTTTTTTTTTACTTGTTGCTGTTATTTCTGTTTCTAGCCGGGGCTTTAGTACAAGTTAAAATATATTGCTGTCAGATTATATTATTTTCTATTGCATTTTAAACTATAAACGCCGTATTACGTGCGGCCTCTGCAGGTTCTTTCCTTTTGGGAATCCCCAATGGACCTTTCTAGTTATTTTATGTGTTTTATGGTTTGAAGCGAGTTTTATTATGTGACAGAAACTGCTCTCTGTGAGTGTTTTGTCTTGTGTTTGATTGCGTAAGTTTTTGTTTGTGTTTTGTGTCATTTATTACCTTAGTTTTCTATAACCCTTCTTATTTGTGGTTGGTTATTTATGTTTCTGTGATGTTTTATTAGCATGGTTTGGAGGAGAGTTGACCTATTTTTAATCATATGGTCCCGCTGGGACAAGGCGGATTGGGTCTCCCTCGAATAGTTCACAAATAGTTCACCAGATATATCACATATCAGATATCAGTACCAGATAGTTTATATCCGGCCTATGTTATAGCAAAAAGAGGACGGAAGTCTTTTAGAAATATCTTTGTATCCGCCTATCCGATAGGTTGAATAGTTACAGATGCTGGCTGGACGCAGGTTCGAATCCTGTGGATGCCACGACGTTTCAAAAGATACTATAACGTCTGTGTGGCAATGGAAACATTTAATGGCTAGCAGAAAATCCTTTCGCGGCATTTAGCGGTAGGTGATAAGGAGAGTGGAACCGTCTCTACTTCTTCCCCCTCCATTAGTTTTGGGGTGCAAATTACTCAGTTAGTTCGGTTGGACTATATCTTTTACGACCAATGCGAAATTCTGGTGTCCAGGATATTGTTTCTATTGTTTCTATGCCATCTAAGCACGGTTATGAATGTTGCGTTTTGCCATGTGCTTTGTTATTAGTGAAAGATCTTGATGTAAACAAATATGTATGACGACTGAAACATTGCTTTTGAATCTATAATTGATCAAAGTCAATCATATTATATATTGATAAATGTTAAACATATTTATCAATCAAAGCATATTACCAAACTGCTTTAAATCAGTATGCTTTTTTTTTCTTATTAAATTAATACTCAAATCATTGTAAATCCCATCTTCTATCTTCCCTGATTTTGGTAAAAGCAAAAATTCCTTATCACATTTCTTTCGGTAACAAAAAATAACAATTAATTCAGATGTTTTCGCAAAAGTAAAATTCTTCGGGGGAAAAAACCCTCTGAAGCGAGAAATTCTTGCGCTTATATATTAACTATCTATTCACGGTATTTTCTCTTTCCTTTCTGCATGCCTTCGTAGTGTAAAGGTAGCACACTTGGCGCATATTCGAGCGGTCCAAGTTAAAGGGCATTGCTCATTTTTCATGTCTTCTGTTTCAAAAATCCTAATTGCTCTACACGTATAATGCTTGAACAGCTTTATAACTAGTAATTCTAGATGCATAATAAAGACGTATTAAGGTGCTTGTTCGACAGAAATGTACAGAGACATACTTTAAGTAATTAAAAGTAAGTGTTCACTCACTTTGCATTTCTACAAAAATCATTCTGAAAAAGTTAATGGTCATTATATTATTTCCAGTTTCATTTTTTTATTTCCTTCCATTTTGCTTCTGCTAGTTATTTAGAGTTTTAACAACTATCTTAGTTTTCTCCATGTATAATGTCACTTAAATTTATAAAGTAGTTCTACCTCTTTCATCAAACCGCTCAATTTGCTGAAAGATGTGGACCAGTTTTATTGGGGAACATTAAAAAAGCACCCTGTTTAGAAGGTATTCCAAACAGCACTATTCCGAACCTGTAATACAAGATGAAGCAAGAGCTGAGCAATGTTGGCCAATCGAAAGTCTCTGCACAAAAATGAGGAATAGCAGAGAGGAAGGCAGATTCCGATATAAGTCCTCCATAGAGCGCCTATGTACAGATAACCATAGTATCAAATTCATGAGTATTTGTAATACATATTGCTGTTACCCCATTTCATTTGATATTCCGTTTTTTTACTCAAAATGACAGATATTTTGGAAAATTTTTCATTTATTTGGTAAACATTTTGTTTTACTTATCTTTTTCTGTTTCATGTTAAGGAAAAAAGTATATTTAAATTTAGCCTTAACCATATTTAATTTTATTATAAACTTCCCATCACTAATTCTTCTAGTCGCACATTTAGTTTCCATTCAGCAATCTGATTTATGTTTCCTCTCCGAGGTAGTTCCAGCTTTCTCTTTCTAATCTTTAATATTATTATCATTTTATACTCAAAGAAATTTTATTTAATACTAAATATTCGCCATTTTTCTTTATTTTACATCAAGTTATATAATTGGTGTGCTGATAATATGGCTAAAAATGAAAAAAAAAATGAAACAGTAATGCAGAATCACCAAGTTTAATTAAACTTGAAACCGGTCTTATAACTCCAGCACATGCGAACTGGGAGCCGTGTGTATACTGAATTAAAATACCTTTCCAGGGTTTACATTCTTAAAATCGATACTGTGTAGGATCGATACTGCATAGAATCGACGTTGCATGGGACCGACACTACGTAGAATTGACAGTGTACTATCAATACTCTGTAGAATTGACATTGCACAAAATCGACACTGCTAGAGTCGACTCGGCGTTGAATCGACGCGAGAAAAGAAATTTTGATGATAATATGATAAATAATGTGCGTTTGTCATCTGCACGCAGTTAGTTATCAGAAGCATAGAGTAGACACTGCGTAGAATCGAACCCGGCATAAAATCTCCATTGCCGTAGTGTGGGCAAAGCTTATAATTATGAGGAACGCACTATCAAGAACGTAACAATTGAATTAAATTATTATTTTTTTATGGTATGGGCTTAGAATCAATAACGGCATATAACTGAAATTGGTTTCTGAGTCGCCATGTCGATATTGTTCTAGAAGCTGTCGATCCTAATTTGCTGTGATATAGGCACAATTAATTGTCTTAGTATTATACTAAATATGTTATTTAGGTATATTTCATGCTGTGTAGTAAGTATGCTGTATTTAAAAAATTTAAAAAGGTAACATTTACCATTTCTAATCAAAAAATGTATTTATTTTGATAAGAAACTTCTCCTTTTTAAAACGACATCTTCCTTGTAGGTCTCATTCTATACTACAGTCCTGACGTCTCGGGACAGCAGGAAAAGTTAGAAATCACCAGTCCTGTCTTCGAACCACACACGTTACCTACTTGTGCTCTCGAAATGGCATTGCACATGTACCAGATGGATCCGGCCAGTTTTCAGATAGTCATCAAAGCCCCCAACAGCACGTGGGAAAGCACCAGCTTCCATGGAAACAGTGCGCACAAGTGAGTTTACGATTTCCATGTAAATAGTTTCGAAAACGCCTTAAATACTGTTGTCTGAAACTAAGAATGTTCTTGAAATATGAGTAGATATCTAAGGACTCTGAAATGAATCCGGATAAGTCTTAACATATGTTTCAAAATATTCTAAGATTGCTATAAATCGACATCAATCACTTTTAAAATGTAACTTTTATTATGTACAATATTTACAGATTATTAATCAAAACAAGGTGGTTCAGTTGACAAACAAATCTATATGCTTTCACAATCGAAAATCGAAATCTTTTAAATAGGAACCCAAGTATTCCTAAAGTGTGCGAAGCATCTAAACATCCATCTATCGAGATACCGGTGGAGAGTCTATTGGAATTCAGAAGACACGTCGCGTCGTGTTCAACACGCAATCTATCAATTAATCAAAATAATTTCCACACACTCCCCACCTGAACTCTATCAAGAGTCCACATTTATCTAACAACAATCAAATTTATATCACTAAGTATTTTAACATATAATTATAAAACAATTGATTAAGTACATTAAATGAATAGAAAATATATTCAAACTGTAATCATTATACTAAATTCTAAAAAAATGTATGTTAATCATCAAATATAATTTGACACTACTTCAGTAAATCTAAACTAATTTTAATCTAATCATATGAAACTAAATTAGCAAAACAAACAATTGCACAAAACATGTTCAATCTTATTCTTACTATTAAACAATAAAAAAAAATGTTTTTAAAGTTCTAAAGGATATAATAATTGAACTGGTCGTTTTATTATTGTTCCATCAGCAGTTTTTAGTTCACAAGCACGAACTTTGCTATCACGACCTCGAAAAACGTTTATCACTCTATCATAGTTCCAGAAAAGTTTGCACTTGTTGCTGCCTTCGATTAATACAAGATCATCAACTTTTAGATCATCATAAACGTTAGGATGTTTTAATTGAAGAGCTGTCCGAAGATCCATCAAATATGTTTTTTTTTTCCGTTTACTCCGCACTTGTCTAACCAATAAATCTTGATAAATCTTTCTTTTGGTCAAAGAGGACTTGGTAGAGCAATCTTTAACAATGGAGTTAAAGTTAATAGGTAATGTAGAATCTTTGTTTCCGAAAATCAAGAAATTGACTGGATTCAGTGGCAACGGTTCCTTGTGGTCATTGTAATCACAAGTCAAAGGACGAGAATTCCAAAATAGCTTCCACTTGTGCTAAAACCGTTGACAATTCTTCAAAAGTTAATAAAGCTTTACCGAGAACTTTTTCTTAAGCACTCTTTCACTGATTTTACTAATCTCTCGTAGAAGCCTCCCCACCAAGCCCCTCGTTCGACTATAAACTTCCAATTGATTCTTTCATTCGACAGAAAATTTTGGAATTTCTCATTCGACAATAGTTTAGAGAAAATTTCGAGTTCCTTTTTTTCCTTTTTAAAAAGTTTTTGCGTTGTCCGAATAAATTACTCGACAATTGCCTCTTCTAGATGTGAATCTTTTGAATGCCACCAAGAAAGAATCTGTAGAGAGATTCGGTACAAGTTCCAGATGTATGGCTCTAGTGATAGCACAAGTAAATAATATTACATAGGCTTTTTGACTTCCTTCGATTTTGTTTTACGTAAATCGGTCCAGAAAAATCGATGCCAGACACGTAGAATGGTGGTGTCTTATTAATTCTATCTTCTAGAAGTTGAGAAGTGGTCTCGTCAGCAGACTTCAGTGAGTATCTTTTACAAATAAGACACTTGTTTATTAGTTTCTTGACAAACTGACGTCTTTTTGGGATCCAAAAGCGACTTCGAATTTCAGCTAAGGTCGTTGCTACTCCGCCATGCATCATTTTAACATGTGCATTTTCTACTATCAAATTCGTCAGCCTGGAGTCTCTTGAAAGAATTGCCGGATGTTTTTCATCATGTGACAAACTAGAATGTTCTAATCTTCCACCTGCTCTCAGTATCACGTTCTGGTCTAAAAAGATATAAAGATGATTTCTTTTCGACTTTATTCGATTTCTTCAGAGACTCTATTTCTTTGGGATAAAAACGTTCTTCTTCAGATCGAATCCAATAATTTTCCGCATCTACTATTTCTTCAGTCGTTAACGGACCTGTCACATAGTTTGTTTTCCTAATTTTACCGATGAATCGCTTTATCCAACCAGTTATTCTTAACAATTTTCATAAATTACTATATTTTGAGATGTCTATAAGCCTTTCGTCAACTGCTGTGCACACAAATTCATAAATATCATTAATGTTCTTGCGGTATTCTAATTCTTCTTCAATGATAGGTTTCTCTTCATTCTGTCGAGGCCACAACTCAGACGACATTCTAAGCCATTCTGGTCCTTGAAACCAGATAGGATTGATTTTCAACTCATGAAGTTTAGCTCCTCTCGAAGCCAAATCAGCGGGATTACATTTACCGGGGCAATAATACCAATTGTCAGGGAACGTTAAATTTTGTATTTCCTGAATACGATTTTTAACGAAAAGCTTAAATTTCTTTGCACAGTCTTTTATCCAGAAAAGTGTGATTTTCGAATCAGTCCAGAAAAAACAAGAAAGTTGTAACTTCAAAACTTTAGTGATGCTAGTGCCTAATTTGGCTGACAAAATGGGCTCCTATTAGTTCCAACCTAGGTAAGGTGATCGGTTTTAAAGGCGCTACTCTAGTCTTTGAAGCAACAAAAACCGTAAATATTTGTACATTGCTAGAAATTATACGCAGATACGCTATTGTACCATACGCCTTTTTGCTAGCGTCAGAAAAACAGTGCAGCTCAATCCTTTCCACATCACTATTACCGATAGCAGGAAAATAATATCGCGGAACAACCGAATTCTTCTAAATTGGAAACTTCTTTGCACCACGTTTTCCATATAGAACATAAATTTTCTGGTAATTCATCATCTCAGTCTAAAACAAATGTTCAAATTTGTTGCAATATGATTCTGACTCTAAGTACAAACGGTAATAATAGAACTACAGGATCAAAAACTCTTCCTATTGCTTGTAAGACAAAACGTTTAGTATTAACTTGTTTTGATAGAAATGTTACCAAACTCTTTACGTCAAAGTAAATTATGTCTCTTTGGTTGTCCCAAGCGACTCCTAACACTTTCAGTGGAGGATTTCTAGCTTCCGAAACACGACTAGATTCCTCGGATTAAATACCTTCATAATTCACGCAGTTATTGAGAATTGGTGTGCCATTTAAGTAGAATCATACTAGCATCTCTAAAAATGTCGACGCATTCTAAACTGGTATTGAAAGCAAGCTCAACGTTTTGGTGTCCTCCAATATTGTCATCTATATAAATGTGATCATTTAGAAATTCGCAAGTGGTAGGGTAGGTTTTCTCATATTGTTTCAAATGGCGTTTAATGGTTGCAGCCAGTAAAAACGGACTGCTATTTACGCCAAATAACACACGAGTGAACAGGTAAGTTATGAAATTTTGTGGATCATCGAATGGGTTTTTTAGTAAACAGAAAACACGTTACATCTCTGTCCTTCTCATCTACTTCTATCTGAAGAAAAAGCCTGCTTTATGTCACTTGTAAATGCTACAGGATGAAGCCTGAAGGCCAACAGAAGTTCAAGAATGTCAGGATACAAATTTGGACCAATATGCAAGCAGTCATGCAACGAGATTTCACCAGGTCCATGTGAATACGCGTCGAACACGATACGTAGTTTATTAGTAGTTCGATTACTACGAATGATTTCTCTGTGAGGCAAATAAAATGTGATTTGAGATTCACTATCAACAGTGTCTGGAACTAATTCAATAATGTTTTGTTGTAAATAATCTTGTAGAACTGTTTGGTACGAATAAAAAAGTTCAGGCTTTATTCTGAAATCGCTTTATAAGTTTCTCAAATCGTTTTAGCGCAATCGCTTTATTATCATGTAACTCATATTTTCTATCAGACTTCCATGGCAGCCTAACCTTGTAACGAGAATTTTTGTATAAAATTTTCGATTCGAATTTGTCCATTATAGTATTGTCTAATGGGTCGGATGATTCATTTTCAAGTTTTATACCCAAACTTTCAGGCTCCCAAAATTTCTTCATTTGATCAGATATATCTTTCTCAACTACGATATTAAAAACTGTGGAATTTTACGTTGTACCTGTAATGTATCCTAGCAGAGACCAAACGAATAACGTTTCAGCAACTACTAAATGTTTGTCTAAACGCTTAAGGTTCCCAGTCACTATACCATAATAATAATCAGCTCCTATCAGAAGAGTAATTTTTTCTTTGCAATCCCAAGAATCTGCGAGTTGTAAACCTTCTGTTTGCCTAAAATATGTCTATCCAGATTAGGAGGTGGTAAAGCAGAACTTGAAATTTGTTCAGTCACGAGAGCTTCAAGTTCGGTTTTCAAATTCGGTTTCCTTGTTCTGTAATTTTATCTTAACAACGTCAAATGTTTTTCTAATGGGTGTTTTATTTCCAAACGTAAATACCGAAAGAGTCTCTGTTCGAATAACAGGAAGCCTCAATTTATCCGCGATTTCTTTTCTCAGGAAGGAACGCATACTTCCTGAATTCAGTAGAGCTCTAATTAAAACCGACTGTGTATTGATTCGAAGTGTTACGCAACACGTTTGAAGCGAAATAGATTTAATTTTGCTCTGTGAGAATGCTGAAAGAACATGCGAATCTTCTATACTTTTATTTTTTCATTTAGTTCTTTCTCATCGCGAAAGCATATTGAACGGTTATGTCGATCTTTGCACTTTGAGCAGACGAAATCTCTTCTGCATTGCTTCATGCGGTGATTAGATTTGAGACAAAAGTAACATCTTGCTTGCTTACGCAATAAATTTCTCCTCTCATCAACTGTCAATGATTCACAGTCTTCAGTAACATGTTTGGTTGTACTACAAAACAGACACCAATTAGTAGTGTTTTTTTTTAACCGGCGCCAAAAGCTGGTAAGTGGAATGGGCGATACTCCCCTTCCTTCCC